TGTCGTAACCCCCTCTGCATCTCCACTCTTTCTCCGATCCAGCCGTTGATCGTCACCGTCGACCCTAAGCCGCGATGCAGCCCCTCCGTCCATTTCATGAACTCCTCTGGTATTCCCATCTTGCTCATCGTCTCGAAAAGGTACGGTCTCGCCACCGTATCATACGCTCTTTAAAAGTCCACCATGAGGAGGAATCAATCCTCCCCCCCATTGTCCGCCGTTTCCACCGCATCCGCCACCACCGATTCCGCGTCCGCCACCACCGATACTGCGTCCGCCAGGCTCCTCCCAGGAATGAACCCGTGCTGGTCATCCGATATCACTAGGTGAAGCTCTTTTTTGAGTCTGTTCGCAAGCACCTTCGCCAGTACTTTGTATACCGTGCTTAGGAGCGTGATGGTAGTTCCCTAATTGGTCCGTCGGGCCTTGCAGCAGAACCGTTACCGCCGTTGTAATCGACTCCTCCAGGTGGCCCGAATCCTCGAACTGCTTCGCGAAGTCCACCAGCGGGCCTCCCAACAAGTCCCAGTGAGTTTTGCAAAGCTCTGGCGGGAGCCTGTCTCGCCCTGGCGAACTGCCCCTTGGCAGCCCCTCCAGCGCCTCCTTCACCTCTCCCCCAGTCCACGGGGCCCGTAGTCTTGCTGCCGCATCCTTTGGTAAGCATCTGGACACCTCCACTGCTCCCCCCTCCTGCCGACCCGTCTCTTTCTGCTCCGTGAATGCTTCCTAAAAGTGTGCAGATGCCGCTTTCAGTACCTCTTGAGGGCTGTGATAGCGCTTTCCTTTGTACAGCACCTCCTTTATAACTGTTTTGTCTTTCCTCATCTTAACCTTGGCAGTGAGGTATGTTGACGGTATCTCTCTATGCAGCTCCTGATCAAGGCCAGCGAGCACCTGTAGCTTTTCCCTCTCGCTTTCCTGGTAACCCTCCAGCTGCGCCTCCTTCGCCAACAATCTCTCCTTCGTGCGCGCATCCGTGGCCCTTCCATAACCAGGTGGTTCAGCCTTGTCACCTCCGCTTCCAGGCGCCATCGTATAGCCGTAGCTCTTTCCCGCTCTTCCTTCTCGTGCACTTGCAGAGCTGCGCTCAACCGTGGAATATCACTTTCCAGGGTCTGGATTCGTCTCCGGCCGACTCCCCCATGATTTTCTGGATCACCGCCCTTACCCCTTTTCTGTTCGCCCTTGTAGCCTGAAACCTCCAGATCCCCGGCCCGCACTTGTGGGACGACGCGATGGTCTGACAACTTCTTCGGCACCCAGACATGTCTTGCATCCGAGAGCTGTCCCAACAGTGAGGTCGACACCAACGCCCTGTCGATTCTCGACTTGGTGTTGGACGGCCTCGCGCGAAAAGTGTATTCCCTGCTTCCTGGGTTGAGCGCCCGGAAAGTGTCCCTGAGATTGTGGCCCGGCCAGGCGTCTAACAGCCACTGGTTCTCCTTGCTGGACCCCGTATTTGATGACCTATCCAGGTCCGAATCATCTATAATGTTGACGTCTCCGGCCAACACCAGGTGCGATGTTGCCGGTTGAGCCCGCGCGAAAGGGATCAGGTGCTCCGTGTGGAATGTCGTCCAATTATTTGGCTGCGCCGGGAGGTACGCTGTTATTAACCTGAACGCCGTCTCCCCTCTTTCCACTGTAACTCCCAGCAGTCTCCCGATGTGATGAGTCATGACCTCCGTGAACCGTATGTGCTTCTTAAAGGCGATGATCGCAGTTCACCCTGCCCCTTTTTCCATGCTCGCCGCTGCCCAGGCCGTTGGTTTGAGCTCTTTTCAGAGGTTATGGTCTTCTTCGATTCTCATGTCTAAAAGTACTACCACATCTGCAGGTTTCCTCAACCATGTACGGTGTTTGGTTCTTTTGCCGTTGCTCCCGAGGCCGTTCACATTGACCCTGCAGATGGTGAGTTGTGGACGCTTATCCATTGATCAACCTTGGCATGAGCCCCACACATCCACGATCTTTATTGAGCAGATTGCGAATATGTGAGATTACTGTTCACACTACCACCTTCTCCTTCCAGGGACCCCTGCCTGCTGCTGTTGTTGAGACTCTGTGTGCAGGTGTTACGTTGAAGCCGGTTTTGTCTTGCCTGGGGGTTACATCCCGAACTCCTTCCTGACCGCCAAAAGATTCATCTTCTTCTTGCTCTGACACGTCGCCAAGCCGGCCCTGAGCCGATCGGTGCAGTGCCGGACCGAAACCACATGATCTGCAGCTTGTGCTAAACTGACTCCATGAGCCTTCCCGCATCCCTTCTGGACACACAGCCACTCCTCTCGCACGCAGTTGGTGGATGAGAGCACCATCGTCGGGTCTTCTATAATGGCATTTGTTGTTGAGGTCAACTTCAGGGACGTCGCAGCTCGGAGGGGAGATGGTACAGAGGTGAGCGGGGTCGCCGGCTGCTGCAGTGACTTGAAAAGCAAAACTTGCACGGAGGTGATTACCATTGATCTCATGCACCCTTGCTAGCGGTAGGTTCCATTCGGTGAAATTTTCCTGGCGTTCTGTCACGCATTCGTCATTAAAACAGGACATGTGTATGCCGCTGCAAAACGAGCAGGTGAGAGAAGGGAAAGAGACAACCAGCTCCGTGCCGTGGATCGTATCCACTGCGGAGATAAATACTACAACGGGAGCTAGACTACGGGCTAGGCACACGGGCTCGTATGATCTCTGCGTTCGTTCCTTAGTCGTTTACTTGTGCTTGCACTACGTGCTGGTTCACGGGGAAAGTTGGCAAGAGTTTCACTAGCAAAGTTCACAACAATGGTTGCAACAACATTTGCATGCAAGACTACATCAAACCTAGCAAGGCTGCTGGTCGACCTCCAGCGCAGCACGGTCGACCGCGTGCCAGCACGACTTGGTCGACCGCGCTCCAGCAGTGCAAAGTCGCGGCTCGCCAACGTTGCCTGTCCACGGCGTGCCAACACTGCAGCAAGTCGGCTGCACAGCGTTGCACCCGCAGAACAACGGTGCACCTGCTTCGCAGGTGCGTGCAGCTGATTGGTGCTCTATTCCTTGTCACGAGCACAGCGCAGACGCCTGGCAGTCTCCACGCCAGCGACTGCGCCCACCGGCCACGTCGACCTCAAAATACCACTTCCGAGGTCGACCTCGCATAACCACCTCGCCGACCTTCGCATGCTCCCGCAGAGGTCCGTCGCCCAGGTTACACGGTCGATCGGGCAACCACGGTGATGCCGACAAGTCTGCGTCCTCCCTGGTCAGCGTCCCCTCGTCGACCACTTTTGGACTAGGCCGCCGACTTCGCCAAGTCGTCGGCCATCCAAGGTCGGCGCTGCGGAGATAACTTCAGCAACGGAAGCTAGACTACGGGCTAGGCACGGGGCTCGTGTGATCTCTGCGTTCGTTCCTTAGCCGTTTGCTTGTGCTTGCACTACTTGCTGGTTCACGGGGAAAGTTGGCAAGAGTTTCACTAGCAAAAGTTAACAACAATGGTACAATCAGATTGGCAAGACAAGACTACATCAGAGCTAGCATTCAGGTCGGTCGACTGCCAGCGCAGCATGGTCGACCGCGTTCCAGCACGACTTGGTCGACCGCGCTTTAGCAGTGCAAAGTCGACGGCGTGCCAAGGCTGCAGGTCGACGGCGTGCCAGCATTGCTCCCGCAGAACAGCAGCGCACCTACTTCGCAGGTGCTCACAGATGATTGGCGTGCTGTGCCTCGTCACCTGCACAGCGCACACACCACATCGTCCCCGTGCTAACGACCGCATCTGATGAGCCACGTCGACCTAGGGATACCATCACCGAGGTCGGTCTCGCCAAAACCACCTAGGCGACTGTCGCACTCCTCCGCAGAACCTCGTCACCCAGGTAACCTGGTTGACCGGGCAACCACGTCGACCGACTACTCCTTCGCGTATCCGTCGACCGCTCAAGTCGACGACCACGTCCTGTCGACCTCACTAGGTCGACCACACCCTTGGCCGACCAGCCCCAGGTCGACGAAACTCCTGGTCGACCAGCTCCACGTCGACCAGCACAGCTGACAGCCGACCACCCAAGTCGGCAAGTCCAGGTCGGCGTCACCAAGTCGACGCCCTACACAGGTCGACCTCCCACGTTGACCTCCCCGAAGTCGGCGCCCTCCCGAAGTCGGCGCCCTTGCAGTGGCCCCCGTGCAGGTCGACCAACCCCGTCGACCAGCTCGCCCACTGCTCCCCTCACACCCGACCACGAAGTCGGCTCCGCCCAAGCGAGGACGAGGCCACACCCAACTCCCGTTGACACTCCCCTGCCGCGTTCACGCTTGGGCCCCAGTCCACACGGTAGTACTCCTTGGAGAAATAGCTCGTCAGCATGCACCCCACACACAGTACGCCAATCACCGCACCAGCCATACAAGAGGGCATGGCACCTACTGCTGCACGTCGTCGTCGCCGTCGCCCATGTCGGTCAGGCGTACCTGGCCGATTGCGACGGAGCACCGGTTGAAGGCCGGATAGTGCAGCGCCTTCGTCAGAAGTCGGCCGGCTGCTTGGTGTCTGGATGTACCTCAGCGAGAACTTCCCGCGCTTCACCATGTGCTGCAGCCAGGCCTGTCGCCGCTCCATATGCTTGAGGTTGCCCGTCAACCCCATGCCCTCGGCGGCCGTGATGGCCGACTTGTTGTCCACCCGAAGGACGGTCGGCTTCCCGGCATCCAAGCGTTGCATATCGCTCGTGAGTCGGAACCACCACTTCGACTTCCCCTTCTGTTCCCTCTGTCTCTGCTGCTCCCTCTGTCCCTTCTGCTCCCTCTCCCTGTCCCCGCTGTCCGTGGACGGCAGGGACCTTCGGAATCTCCTGCTGCGAGGCACCGTGCACGCCGACATCTCCAAGCTCACCACACTCACTGCGCTGTAAGGCCTTGGGATATCGGGATTGGGGTCTGACTCAGGATATGAGGGTAAGGTTCTCAAGTAAGATCAGTGCGGTGTGGCGCAAGTGACAGGGCAGGAGTGCCCTCACGCAGGTATGGTCGTGGTTAAGACAGGACAGGAAACCAGTGCTCTGTGTGTCGGGAGGTAACATGCGAGTCGCAACATGCACTCATGTGCATTCTCTGTCACAGCGTCACAGCATAACTGTCTCACTGTCACAGCTGCACAGCATTACCTCATGGTTCCCATCCCAATACTCACACCGCATTCTGCACTACCCAGCCCCTGTCCCACTCTCCTGCCATGGTTCCTCCATTCTGCCTTCAAAATGCTCGTTCTGCCCGTGTGTTCCCCTCGTTGTGCCCCCTCGTGTGTTCCCCCCCATCCACAGCTACCTGTCATCCAACCTCTTCTTCCAGCGTCTTGACTCCTTTGTGGCTCCTATCCTGCCCACCGCCTCTATCAAGGACATGTGAGTGCCTCCCCTGCCCACGGCTTTCTCAGGGCCCTGTTAGTGCTATAACTACTCAGACTATAACCACTCATGTGATACTATAATTGCTCTGAGACGTCTCAACACAGACTTCTGTCCTGTCATGACTGAAGCCAAATCCTTCTTGAGGGATCTGTGAGTGCTACCAATTCCATGCACCCTAGCCTTTAGGACCTGTCTTCTTTGCTTTACTCGTTCTGTTAGGTGGCAAGTTCTGCTGTTTAAGCAACCCCTCCCACGCTTGTACAGGGCCAAGGACCTTGATAGAATCACAGACATGTATAGGATGAATCACAGACATGTATAGGATGAATCACAGACCTGTATACGATGAATCACAGATTTGTACAGGATCAAGGATGTAGCTTCCGTGCTCCAGGCACAGCAAAGTTGTTGCATCTCATCCAGCCGAGCCGTTCTTTCATCGTCCCAAGTGTTGATGCATTCAGAACCTCCTCAAACAACTTCCTCTGCTGTGGCATACTCTCGGTTGCGTGTGTCTTTGCTCTTGCTCATCTACTCGTGTGTAGTATTTAGCCTTTAATATTCATCCTTTTTACTCCTGTCCTTTGATGTGGATTTCTGGTTGCCTCTTGTGTGCATGTATATGTGTGCACGTGTGTACGCATCTGTTCGTGCATGCATCTCTGCATGTATGCATGCATGTACGTGTCCCACCAGGGCGGTGAGCTTCAACTGGCTCTACGGCTCTGTGCCATCCAAGCTCGTAGCCATGGCCGCTCTCTCCAATCTGTAACTTCCTGCGCTTAAACCCTTTATCCTCTTTGCAAAAATTGTTTGATTCTTAAACCCTTTATACATTCCAAAAATAAATAGATCCAAGACCACACACTCCATCGTCATCATGTAGCAAATATCATAGCCCTCGTTGCTTGATCATTGCCGCCTTGTCCTCTCACACTCTCCCACTCCGCCATTTCTTTCCATTCCTACTTGTTCCGTCATATCCCTTTCCCAACTCTGTTCAGAATCGATACTGATCATCTCCCTTCCATTATCCCACCTCTTGTCCTTCTCTTCCTGCTCTTCACGACCACCAGTCGCTTCAGCTACAACTATCTGACAGGCTCGATGCCCAAGCCCAGTGCCGCCCTCAAGGTTCTCGACACGCAGGCCAACTTCCTCTCAGGCACTTTCCCCACGGCCACACTAGCCTGCAACACTCGCCTCAACTGCTTTGCCAACGCCTCAGGCTGCTTCAACCTGGATGGAACGGAACAGAGGACAGCAGCAAACTGCAGCATTTGTGGGTCAACACAGAAGAAGCTGGGGCTGTGCGGAGGTGGCACTTGTTTGCCTGTCCTCCCTTCTTCCCTCGCTAAGGTTCCCAACAGTGCTGCTGCCCCCACGCTCACCATGACATGTGCTGCCGTGCCCCTTGATGCAGCCTCTGGTAAGCCCCCTCCCTCTCTTCCCTCCTACCACACATGGATGCGTAGACCATGTGTTTCAAAGTCCCTCTCACTTTCCATGACATGTGCTGTCGTGATTCTTTAAATCACCTCTCATGACTCCCGTCTCTTTCCAGTGCCATACGTGGATCCCTTCCCTCCATGCCGCCATGCGTAATTCCGCAAATTTTGGTGTGCAACCATCCCTTGCTGGAAGCCCATAGCATCATCACACCACCGATCACCCTCCCTTGCTGGAAGCCCATTCACCACACTGCTGGCCTGCATGTATCCACTCAACCTTTTCTCCTCTTTTGCCCCCACGTGCACTCCCACCGACAGTGGCGGCACTGTTGAAGCTAGGGGCGGCTCTTGGGGTCAGAGACACGGACCGGCGCAACGGCAGCAAGTGCAACATTGAGGGGCAGAGCGCCAACCCCAAGTCGTTTCCGGGCGTGTGGTGCAGCGCCAACGGCACTGTCCTCAACATGTGAGGCTCCTTTTGCCCCCCGGATAACTAGTCCTTTATTGGACCTGCGATGTGTATGCGTCTCATCCCCATGCTTGTGCTAACCCTATGCCTCCTGACTACATGCCTCAGTTAACCCCATGCTCCTGCTACTCCCATGCCTGCTGCTATGCCTCCTGCAATCCCCATGCCTCCCGCTATCCCAATGCCTCCTGCTATCCCACGGCAGCACGTTGCCCAACAAGGCACTGAGGGGCATCATCCATGCCGACATCTCCAAGCTCACTGCCCTCTCCTACCTGTACGTTCCAAGCCTCAACCTTAACCCCATGCTCCCTGAGGCAGTACGTTTGAGAATTATCAACATCAACCTCAACCCCACAGAGAACGGGTCGTTTACAAGTGCATTATCCCTTTCCTCATAGGTGTTACGGTCGTCGTGAGTCTGCAGACCTGGGTCCAGTACTGAGCCTCTAGATTCTCTTCACTTCCAGCATCCTCCTCTCGCTCATTCTCTTTGTCTGCCTCTCCCACGCCCACTCGCAGCGATCTGTCCTACAATCTCTTCTCTGGTCAGCTCTCCAAGTTCGTCTCCACTATGCTGCCGCTCACCACCATGGCCACTCTGTGAGTCGACTTTGATCATTCCCAAAAGTCTCACCACCATGGCCACTCTGTGAGTTGACTTTGATCATTCCCAGAAGTCTCACCACCATGGCCACTCTGTGAGTCGACTTTGATCATTCCCAGAAGTCTCACCACCATGGCCACTCTGTAAGTGCCCTGCTACCAGGGATCCAGCACCCACCATTGCTTCCATGTGTGTGTGGCGCAGGGGCATGTCCCCGCTTGGTCTAATGGATGGGACTACCTCATTCTGTTTACTACACATCCAAACACCACTCCCCGTTCTATTCATCTTCATCTCATCCCTATGTGTTTATCGTGTGCTTCTCATTCATTGGCCTGCGTTTATCCAGGAACCTTAACTCCAACTATCTTAACGACAGTATTCCATCGGCCCTGGTCAAAATGCCTTGACTCACAGAACTGTCAAATTTGCCATGCCCATGCCCATTGCCATTTCCCATGCCCAATACCATGCCCATGCCCATGCCCAATGCCATGCCCAATTCCCAAGCCCAATGCCTATGCCCAGTGCCCACATGCCCAATGGCCATGCCCAATGGCCATGCCCAAAGCCTTATTGCTCTCATTGAATTCAATACCCTCTTCCCCCCTTTACTTCACCTACTTCCCCCCACCCCCCACCCCTCCTTACAGCCGGCTGGGAGCGAACTACCTGACGGGCATGCTGCCAGCCATGGCCACGCAGCTGCTGGTACTGGCCATCGCCAGCAACCTCCTGGCGCGCGCCTTCCCCACGCAGCCCTTCCAGCTGTGCGACATCCGCAGCAACTGCCTCCCCTCGCCGGGCTCCTGCACCAACGATGCCTGTGTGGCTCAGCGCACCTCCGGCTGTGTCTTCTGTGGTTCCGCCACGGGCGCCCCGCCTTTCTGTGCGGGCACCACCTGCACTCCCGATGTCGCTGCTCCCCTCGCCGCTGGCACTGTGAACAACCTTAATGCCACCCTCCCAACAATGTTCTGCAAGGCCGTTGCAGTGGATGATAACTCTGGTGAGTGGGGATTTGTAGCCTTAAGGAATGATTAACTGTGTGGTGTGTGGGTACGAGCATCTCGTCTGGTCGACATGGGTGTGTATCAGAGGTGCCTTTTGAGTGGACAAATTAGCACTCTAATGAGCAGCTGCACTTGTGTGCCAGAAATGTACTCTGACTGGGGCTCACGTCCTTTGTCTCACACCCACATCAGTCATCCATCCAACCTCACACACCCAGCCCAGTGTTGACCCCACACCCTCTCCCCTTCTGCTCCCTTCAATGCACTTTCGTCTCTCACTACTGACACACCCTCTCCTTTCCCGTACTCCCCCCTGCTCCTCCCCACTGCTCCTTCCCGCACTCCTCTGCCCCTGCTCCCCCCAGCGCTGGTGCTGCTGGCACTGAGGGCGGGGCTGGGCGTGAGTGCTCTCAGCTGGGAGGTGGACTCGCCCTGCACACTGGCGGGCAACGCCCCTGCGGTGGACAGCTGGACGGGCGTCGTCTGCGACCTCTCGGGCCAAGTCCTTAGCCTGTGGGTGGGGTGGTGATGGATGTGTGTGGACTATGTGTGGGAGTGTTTTGTTAGTAGGCTCTGTGTGACGGATATGGCCGTGCCGTGGGCTATGTGCCTGTGCACGTGTTATGTGTGCACATGTGCTATGTGCATGTATGTACATGTGCTATGTGCATGTATGTACATGTGCTATGTGCATGTATGTACATGTGCTATGTGCTTGCCTGTGCTCCCTTTGTAGGTGTCGTGTCCATGCCATCCTGATGCTAGCATGTAAATGCAACATGCGTGCGATGCCAGTGTCCTTCTTGTGTCTCACTTGTCATGTCCCCATCATACTCTAACTGTCTGTCAGCACCAAGAAATCCTTCGTTCTGCATTCTATACTCCACTGTCAAATGCTCAGAACCTGCTTCTCACACTAAATTTTCCTCATCCTAACACCATATGAGGCCCCTTCAACCCCACATCCCTGCAAGCCTCATGCCTGCATGCTGCCCAGTCTGCTGTACCGCTGCTCCTCACATCGATTCCTCCTCGTCCCTTGGTGCGTGCGTGCCTGGCATGGGTTTGCTGACGTCACAACAGGGATCTTTCCAACATGAAGCTTGGTGGCAGCTTGCATGCCGACATCTCCAAGCTCACTGCACTCACCAGCCTGTGAGTGCGGCTACTTCCACTAGCATGTGGGCCAGCATCTATCCACCCTTACCTCGCCCCACACGTCCATCATGTTCCTCCATTGTGCTTTCTACAGCATGCCATTCCTTTCAACCTAAACCACTCTTCAACCCTTGCATACCCCTCCGCTCACCTCTTAGTGCCTCCCTGCCTCCGTGCCTCCTCCGTGCCTCCTCTGTCCCAGCAACGTGGCGTCCAACCTCTTGGATGCGCGCATTAGCGAGTGGGCTTTGCCTCTCACCGGCCTCAAGGCACTCAAGCAACTGTCAGTCCTACGCACTGCTTGCACAGCCTGCCTCCGCCACACAGCATGGCCAGCAGTATTGCACAGCGTTCTGCACACCAGGCTCTCTTTGCTGCGCGCCAGACCAGGCCAGGCCATACCCGATAAAACCCGGCCTCAAAGGGCAAGGCTTTAAGTCCCACCGTGCGGGTGCCTATACTGTTCGAATCTTCATTTAACATTTTTGTGTTTCACTCTTCTCTTATGTGACTTTTCAATCGTGTCACCACTCTCTTGTGTGACTTTCGGCTCCTCTGCCACCACCCTCCAGGTCTCTCAACTACAACTGGTTCTCCGGCCCTCTGCCCTCTTTCCTCCTCACCATGTCCTCCCTCTCAGCGCTGTAAGCACCTCCCTCTCAGCGCTGTAAGCACCTCCCTCTCAGCGCTGTAAGCACCTCCCTCTCAGCGCTGTAAGCACCTCCCTCTCAGCGATGTAAGCACCTCCCTCTCAGCGCTGTAAGCACCTCCCTCTCAGCGCTGTAAGCACCTCCCTCTCAGCGCTGTAAGCACCTCCCTCTCAGCGCTGTAAGCACCTCCCTCTCAGCGCTGTAAGCACCTCCCTCTCAGCGCTGTAAGCACCTCCCTCTCAGCGCTGTAAGCACCTCCCTCTCAGCGCTGTAAGCACCTCCCTCTCAGCGCTGTAAGCACCTCCCTCTCAGCGCTGTAAGCACCTCCCTCTCAGCGCTGTAAGCACCTCCCTCTCAGCGCTGTAAGCACCTCCCTCTCAGCGCTGTAAGCACCTCCCTCTCACCGCTGTAAGCACCTCCCTCTCAGCGCTGTAAGCACCTCCCTCTCAGCGCTGTAAGCACCCCAACTTGTGCAAGCTAATGATGATTCACACACATGCACTCCCCCTCAATTGTTCATCACGACCCTTTCTCATTCATAATCACGGATTATGGCACCCTGCCCTTAATCCATTGCATGCCTCCTTACTCATGCCTCGCCTTTGCCCTCCTTTTCTCTCCATCTGCCATTCCTCATCCCTCCCCTCCCCACCCCCCCCCCCCCCCCTCCCTCCCCCCCCTCTCCTCACCAGCAACGTGCAATTCAACTACCTCGCTGGTCCCATCACCGGCACCCCCTCTGCCTCCCTCAAGTCCCTCAACGTCGCCTCCAACCTTCTCACGGGAAACTTCCCAGCATCTTCCACCACCGCATGTGATGCACGCAGCAACTGCCTAGCAGACTCCTCCAAGTGCCTTGCCTCTGGCTCCTCCTCCCAGAGGCTTGCCTCTGACTGCAACGTCTGTGGTTTGGGGAGTTCCAGTGCGGTTGTGTGCAATGGAGGGGTGTGCACCCCTGACACTACCGAGCCAGTGGCAGCAATCACGCCTGATAATGCCTCCGCTGCTCTGCTGCCCATGCAGTGCTCGGGTGTGCGCATTGACGCCACTGCAGGTGCGTCTGGTGACCAAAAACAAAAACAGAAGCCATTTTTCCTTATTTTCCACTGTACACTTTTGCTGCTCTCTTTCTCTTTACTCCCTCTCTCATTACGTCCCTCAAGCATCTTCCCTCCCTCCACTCCCACTCGCTTCCCACCGTTCCTCCTCTCCTCCCTGCTCCTCTCCCCCATCCTCCAGTTTCAGTGCTTGGGAGTCTCAAAGCGGCACTTGGGGTTCCTCTCCCTGACTGGGGTGTGAACTCCCTGTGCACGGTGGTCATTGTTGTTTCCGGAGTCATCAGCTCCTCCCCTCACCCGAGGGACTTGGGAGGCGTGCTGTGCAGCCCGGCCGGTGCTGTGGTGGAGATCAACCTCAACACGCACCAGCTGGCTGGGTCCATGCATGCAGATATCTCCAAGCTCACTGCGCTCACTGCTCTGTAAGCCCACTGCTCGCTATTACTCTGTATGTTCTAAGCTTCAAAATACCACTGCTATAGTATAAAAAAAAAATATATAAAAAGTGGTATAACAACTTATATGACTCCGGGTTCTGTTTTCTCTGTTTCAAAAGTTGTTCCTCGCGGAGGCACAAAACCATTCTCTAGCAGTAAAGTGCCGTTTATCCAATGACTTTAAGAGACACATCATAATCTCCAGAGACCGTACGTTTTTACCTGGTAAGCTCACTGCTTTGGTAACCTGGTAAGCTCACTGCTTTGGTAACCTGGTCAGCTCACTGCTTTGGTAACCTGGTAATCTCACTGCTTTGGTAACCTGGTAAGCTCACTGACTGCTTTGGTAACCTGGTAAGCTCACTGCTTTGGTAAGCAGGTCACCTCACTGGTTTGGTAACCTGGTACGCTCACTTCTTTGGTAACCTGGTAAGCTCACTGCTTTGGTAACCTGGTAAGCTCACTGCTTTGGTAACCTGGTAAGCTCTTTGCTTTGGTAACCTGGTAAGCTCACTGCTTTGGTAACCTGGTAAGCTCACTGCTTTGGTAACCTGGTAAGCTCACTGCTTTGGTAACCTGGTAAGCTCACTGCTTTGGTAACCTGGTAAGCTCACTGCTTTGGTAACCTGGTACGCTCACTGCTTTGGTAACCTGGTAAGCTCACTGCTTTGGTAACCTGGTAAGCTCACTGCTTTGGTAACCTGGTAAGCTCACTTCTTTGGTAACCTGGTAAGCTCACTGCTTTGGTAACCTGGTAAGCTCACTTCTTTGGTAACCTGGTAACTCACTTCTTTGGTAACCTGGTAAGCTCACTTCTTTGGTAACCTGGTAAGCTTACTTCTTTGGTAACCTGGTAAGCTCACTTCTTTGGTAACCTGGTAAGCTCACTGCTTTGGTAACCTGGTAAGCTCACTGCTTTGGTAACCTGGTAAGCTCACTGCTTTGGTAACCTGGTAAGCTCACTGCTTTGGTAACCTGGTAAGCTCACTGCTTTGGTAACCTGGTAAGCTCACTGCTTTGGTAACCTAGTAAGCTCACTGCTTTGGTAACCTGGTAAGCTCACTTCTTTGGTAACCTGGTAAGCTCACTGCTTTGGTAACCTGGTAAGCTCACTTCTTTGGTAACCTAGTAAGCTCACTTCTTTGGTAACCTGGTAAGCTCACTGTAAACCATCCATTTGTAAACCTTCGGCAGAACCAGGCTGCCCAACATGCATATCGCTCTGCACCTCTCCCCTTCCTGCGTTCCCCTCTTCCTGCCTTCCCCTCTTCCTAATTTCCCACATTATGCTGCTCCGGCAACTCATCCCCCTGTGCCTTCTCTCCCACGCCTCCCGATGACCATACCCACCTTTCCGCAGGGCTTTCTACTCAAACTACTTGGCTGGTCGCTTAGATGCCTTCACTGTGCCCTTCACTGCGCTCTCCAGCCTTGGGAATCTGTACGTCCTTAGCTCAAACATTCTTTCTAAGGATGGTAGTCTCGACCTGCACTTACTGTGAAGGCATGGCGTGTAGAACAGAAATGTAACTGGGTACAGGAAGTTCCTAGCTGGCATTCCCCGGTGTCTCTCAGACCCCGGAGGGACTGGTTGTTCTGTCTCTTGTTCCCACATTTAGTGTGCGCTCTCCTTCCCTGCGTATGAGGCACGTCGCACCTCACCAGCCTTCACTCATCATACCCATATGGGCCTTCCCCCTGCGAAAAGCAATACCTGGAGCACACCCCCTCGCCCGGTTTCTCATTCCTTTCCCATTATAAACCCGGCTCCTTCCCATCCATTTCCCTATCCACCTGCCCATCCACCTGTTCGCCCCACCCTCTTCCCTGTGTGCCGTACAGTCAACTGCACTACAACTACCTGTTTGGGCCTATCCCCTCAGCTGTAATCGGCCTCAAGAGCCTCTCCAAGCTGTGAGATTACCACCTCTATGCCATTGTGTGTCATGCCGTGCCAACCACCTCTATGCCATTGTGTGTCATGCCGTGCCATGCCATACTAAACCATACCATACTCTGTCTTTGGTACTATGCCAGATCTGCACATGCCACATTATCTCCTTCCTCTGAGTATCCTTTCGCCTCAACCTTCCCTCACTCAACCCCATCAAGCTCTTTGCCTCCCTATTTACCTTCACGCGCACTTGGCTCGCCCTTTCTTCCTCACGGTATGCTTTCCCTCTCATCAACCCATTCGTGCTGCACCTACCCTACAGGAAGTCGATTGTTTTAATCTGAATGCACTCATTGACTATCCTGCACCTACTCTACTAGACTCATCTCAAAGCATCCTTTTAACTTTCCTTCATGCGTCTTCCCACAGGAGTCTGGGCTCCAACTACCTCACTGGGAGCGTGCCAGTGCCAGGCACTGCCATGAAGCACCTGGACCTCGAAAACAACTACCTCGTGGGAACCTTCCCAACCGGTTCCTGGCAGTCCTGCTCGACACGCACCAACTATTTCTCGAGTGCTGCTGCTTGCACGGCGGACGGAGGCAAAGGGACTGTTCAGAGAGCCACATGCAGTATCTGCGGTAGCGCCGATGGCACGGGGGTGTTGTGTGGCGGCGGTGGTGCGTCCACCTGCCAGCCCACAGCTGCTTCCCTCGCGTCCCTCTCAACACTCAACGACCCCTCTGCCCCTGCGCTCCCTCTGGAGTGCTCCTTGCTGCCGGCTGTGCCCGTCAACTTTGCTACCAGTAAGACATCCCGCGGGACATGCACAGGCAGGGCACAGGGAGCATGGCACATCCCGCTCTTCTCTTTCCAGTCAGCACTTTGGCCCGCACTTCAGTTTCTCATTCGCCACACACTCGCGCTCCACACTCGTTAGCCTTTCCCTTCTTTTCCATTCAAAGCTACCGGTTCAATGCCCACCCTTTTCATCGTCCCACCCCCCAACACCCACAGTGGCAGCGCTGCTGAGCATCAAGACAGCCTTGGGAGTGACGCGGGCGGCAAACGTTGTCTGCACGCTGGCAGGGACAGCTGGCACCGTAGCGAGTGGGAGCCTGACGGGTGTGGAGTGTGTCTCAGCTGGCAACCCCGTCAAGATGTGAGCACTCCAATAGTGTGAACCAGAATGCTCGTTGTGCAGGAGAGCTTGTTTTGCAGTATGGTGTGGTTGTGGTGGCTGCCACTCCACCTCCCCCTGGTGGATTAGTCAAACAGTGAGTATTCCCATTCTGCTTCGTTCCACATGTTTCTCAGCACTTTCTCTCCTTTCCTATCTTTAATTCCCGTTTGCTCTTGTGCTCCTGCTCCTCTCGCCCAAATTCCCCCCCCCCAATTCCCCCCTCTGATCCTTCCCCTACCTCTTCTTCTGTTGCCTGCCCACCTGTGCCAGCACTCTCAACAACCAGCAGCTGTTTGGAGTGCTCCCTGCTGACGTCACCAAACTCACAGCGCTTACTTACCTGTGAGTGCATGCATACACACTTGCCTTACATACTTGTGTGCAGCTTTCCGTTCATGCAAGCACACGGAAGCACTTGAGCGAATGTATGTTCTCACTGTCGCGCCAGCACTCGAGTGCATACAATAGTCATTTAAACAGAAGGAGCAACTAATTTGTACACATGCAATAGTCTGTAATACTCACTCGCATGTATTCACAGCACCCATGCCACGTGAGCCTCTTCTCACGCATGCTAATGTGTGACGTCCCAATCTCTTGCTTCTATCGACCTATCTTCTCTAAACTTATCTTCTTGTACAAACCTGTGTTGCACCCACCACTCCCTTGTCTCGCCCCTTTTCCATCCCCTCTTCCTTCATTCCGTCCTCTATCTCTCCATTTCTATGCACCCCCTGTGCCCCCCTGTGCACCCCCTGTGCCCCACTGTGCACCCGCCATACTCCCCCTCACAGCAACCTGCAGTCCAATCTCTTCAGGACACGCCTTGAAGATTTTGCACTAAGGCTTCCTGCCCTCACCAACCTGGCAGTGCTGTGAGTCTCTTCCTGCCCTTGCAGTCCGCGTGCTCCTGTTGTTCCACCATTGCATGCATCCACCTCTGCCATCCCACCATAAACCTAGTGGTCCCTTGCCCACCTCGCAATCTCTGCCAGACGCATTCCTCCAGCAACGACCCATCCGTTCTGCATTCAGCTTCTAACACCTTCGTGTTGCCATTAGGTGCAGTGAATATCTTAGATGTCCCTCTTATGTCCCTCTTATGTCCCTCTTATGTCCTTCTTTTGTGTTCCTCTTATGTGTGTCCTTTGCGCCCCTTTGCACCCCTCTGCATGCATCACCTCCAGCCTGCTGGACTACAACTGGTTCAAGGGCTCGCTGCCCCCGCCTCTCCTCGCCATGACCAAACTCACCCGCCTGTCAGTGCCGTGCCGCATGCCCCACGCGCTATGCACCATACCCCATGCCATATGCCGCATGCCCCGTGCCTCATGGCCCAGGCCCTGTGCACCATACCCCATACCCCATGCCCCATGCTGCAGCCCCGTGCACCATGCCCCATGCTCCATGCCGCATGCCGCGTCGCCTACCCTATATTGCTAAACTGTGTCCCACACTCTTAATTTACTGCCAAACGACTTTCCACACCATCTCACCCTGCTCATACTTGTTCCATATCATTATTGGTTCGGGTATACCCACTCATTTTGCGACAACCACTCACAACCCTTCCTCTCTCCCAACCACACCACCCCCACTCCCCCTCCTCCACCTCTGAACCTTTTGCGAGGCAGGAGCATGGCGTACAACTACCTGACATACCGCGTGCCACCGGTGTCAGCATCGCTCAAGGCAATCGTCCTCTCCAACAACTTCCTCTCCGGCACCTTCCCTGCCAACT